TATTTGTGATAGTGAGGTATTTAGGTCCCCCACTACAATTGTATTAGTGCTTATTTGGTTTTTCATGTCCTTTAATATTTGTTTTGTATAGTTGGAGGCATTAATATCTATGATTGCCATCTCTTCCTCTTGGATTGTTCCCTTTACAAGGATGTAGTGGTTTTCTTTGTCTCTCTTAATCAGTTTTGGTTTGAAATTTACTTTGCGAATAAGATAGCTACCCCTGCTTTTTTCTGGGCTCTTGTTGCACGGAGAATTGTTTTCCATCCTTTCACTTTCACCCTATGAGTTTCTTTTTGAACTAGGTATGTTTCTTGTATACAACATATTGTTGGATTTTTGCTTCTTAATCCATCCTTCCAGTCTATTTCTTTTGATTGGTGAATTGAGGCTATTGACATTGATGGTTATAACTGATATGTATTGACTTATCATTCATGTTATTGTTGATTCTTTTTTATCTTTCTCCCTCTCCCTTTAAATTCTTGCCTATTGGATTTGCTCTGTTGGACCTCATGGAGTTCTGACCTTCATTATCTTTTTCTAGGATATTGTTTAGAATTGTCTGTAGTGCTGGTTTGGTATTCATGAAGTTTCTCAGGTGTTCTTTGTCATGGAAGTATCTTATTTCCCCATCCATTTTAAGAGAGTTTTGCAGGATACATCAGTCTAGGTTAGAGGTTGTTTTCTTTTAGGGCTTGAAATACCTAACTTCAAGCTCTCCTTGACCTGAGGGTTTATGTTGATGTGATTCTGCTGTGATTCTGAGTGGCTTTCCTTTGCATGTGATTTATTTCTTTTTTCTAAGTGCTTTCAGTATTTTGTTCTGCGTTGGGTTTCCGGGATTTTGACTATTATATGTCTAGGTGTAGATTTTTTTTTTTTTATCATGGCTAATTGGAGTGTTATATGCCTCATTTATCTGTATGTCAAATTCTTCCCCTCTGGGAAGTTTTCTGTCATTAATTCTGTGAACAGTTTTTTTATGTCATTTGTACTTTCTGCTGCTACTTCATGGATTCCTATCAGTCTTATATTATTCTTCTTTGCATCATCTAGGAATTGTTGGATCGATTTCTCATGATCCCTTACTGTTTTTAAGATATCTCTCTTTTCATGTTGTCTGATTGCAATCCTATCTTCTATATCTGAAATTTTTTATCTTCACAATTGTTCATTCTGCTACGAATGCTTTCAGTAGAGTTTTTAATCTTCTGGGTATGGGTATCTGTTTGAATCTGTTTCATGGATTCCATTTCTTTCCTATGCTGGGCATTCATGGCTTCTATCTTGGTCCTGAGCTCATCTATTTTTTTGTCTGTTTCTGTTCTAGAGTCTCTAATCATGTCTTTGATTGTGCTCACCCTCCCTGTAGATAGTCTGGGAAATGATTTCTGCTTTGAATTTTTCTAGAGCCTGATTGATCTGTTTTGTTACTTCCTGTGCTATGAGTTTAGGGTGTCCTGGTGGTTGATTGTCAGACTTTCCACCTTGTTTCCCCCAAAGAATTTACCATTGATGAACTGGAAGTCTGCATTTGTGCCTTGCTTAGGTATTTTCTCATTTTTTCTGTTGTTGGGCTGTCCTTGATTTAATTCCTGGGTTAGTACTTTGATCTTCCTGATATAGCTGCTATTTAGGTTTTGAGTCTCTAATGAGTCATAGACACTCTCATTTTCATAATATCAGAAAGGAGAACTCATTAAATCAATCACAACCCTTTAGCCCAATTGATACAATCAGCAACATAATAGCATCAAGCACGGCTTAGAAATTGACCATTTTTGGTAGTTAATCTGTCAGTTTTAACCATGTGAATTAAATCAAAATTGAAGTCCAGCCCAAAATATGTTTATAGTAAATAATTTTTCAATATAACAACTTTACCCTTCAGGGTGGGGACTTAGAAGGAGTTGGGAAGAGAGGAATAGATAGGCAGAAGAATAGGAGGAGGTTTCAAGTGAAGCCAGAGGACACAGGATGATCACGCAAACTCTAGGAAACTGTTGAAGACAAGAGGGAAAGACAGAGTGTGAGGACAAAGACAAGAATAGAACAATTTCACAGTAATAGGGAAGCTATAAACTGTACTCACTTTCCTTTGAAAGTAATTGCAATCGAGCGAAGGAAAAAGAGAGAAGAAAAAGAAGAAATCCAAATTAGGGCAGAAACAGGAACAAAAGGGATGTGAAAAATAATGCGGGGGAGCAAGAGACTGAGCAGGAAAAAGAAGAAAGAAAAAAGAATTTTAAGAATGAGAATATATAGAATTTTTAAAATAAAAATTAAAAATAAGAGGAAAAAAATTTGAAGAGCCTCTTTCAGGGTATCCCTCTCCCTCTCCCTCTCCCTTTCTCTCTCCCTGTCCTTGTCCCTGTCCCTCTCCTGGGGTCTTTGCACTGAGCTACATCCCCAGCCCTTTTTAAACGTGTTTCCAGACAGGTTATCAATACATTTGGCCAAGCTAGACTTAAATTAGCCATCTTCCCCGCTCAGCCACCCAGAGAGCTGAGAATGCAGTTATAAGCTACCATACCCAGCACTGCTAGCAATGTTAATAAAGAACAGCCAATGCTGGGCATAGTGCACGATAATTTCCGCACTCAGGAAGCTGAGGCAGGAGGATCACTGAAAGTCTGAGGCCACCCTGGCCTACTTAATGAGTTCAAGGTCAGACTAAACTGCATAGTGAGATCCTGTCTCAAAAAATTTAAATAGTCGGGCATAGTGGCACACACCCATAATCTCAGCACTCAGGAGGTCAAGGCAGGAGGATTATGATGAGTTTGAGGTCTGGTCTGCCTAGGCTGCATAGTGAATTCAAGGTGCAGGAGATCCTGTCTAAAACATAAATACATACATACATATATACATACATCATACAAACATGCATGCATACAGCAAGTGTTCAAATCGGAAGCAGCTATATAATAAGTAACATTGAAGGGCTGGAGGTTTAGCTCAATGGTCTTCCTGCCTCACAAGTGCAAGGACCTGAGTTCAATTCCTGGTACCAAAAAAATAAATAACATTGAAGACAACATGATGGCACATGTCTGTGATCCTAGCACTTGGGAGACTGAGGCAGGATGATCACTGTGAGTTCAAGTTTAGCCCCACCTATATAGTCAGTTCAAGGGCAGCCTAAACTGCATAGTGTGACCCTGTCTCAGAAAGAAAGAGTGAGACAGAGAGAGAATTGACAAAGGTAAGTCTTTGCAAATTATTTTTAAATGATAGAAAATGAAATTTTAAAGATATTTATGTAACATAAGTTCCTAGGAATAAATTTGACAGAAAATGGAGACCCGTGTAAATGGAAAAATATGCTATATTCTTAGCTTTCAAGATCAGAATTATAAAGATTTCATTTTCCCGAAAGTAAGTTGTAATATCAATACTGTTCAAAGCAAAATCCTGACAAATTTGTTGGGATCCGTGGAATGTGACAGGTTGTTCCTGTAATTTATGTGGAGATGGAAAGGGCCAGAATAAAAGTGAGATACTCTTTCTAGGGAGAAGGAGGGTTGAAACAGTCTTGTATACATTCTAGGCTGACTTCAGACTTGCAGCGTAGCCAGGACTTTTGCATTTCCAGTCCTTTTTAGGTTTAGAGATGTGGTCTAATTAAGTCAATGAGTTGCTCAACCTGGCCTCAAACTTGGAATTCTCTTGCCTCAGTCTCCTGTATGATAAGATTACAAGTGTGCCTCCATGTCCAGCAAGCCAGTATACTCTTGAAGCAGAACAAGTAGGGAGGACATGCTTCTCTAAATATGAAACATTTTAAATATTTTAAAGCATTAGACCAATAACAGAAAATAGAAACCTAAAAAGACTATGCTGATACAGACAAATAAGGCTCTATAGAGGAAGGAAGAAAAGTTCTTTGAATAAAAGTTGTGAAGACAATTAGATAGCTATGTTCCTGATGCTCTATAGAGGAAGGAAGAAAAGTTCTTTGAATAAAAGTTGTGAAGACAATTAGATAGCTATGGTGGAAAAAAAGGAAATTATTTGTTATAATTTACACCATAAAATTCTGTTCTGTGTACACTAAAGTTTAACTGTAAAATATATAAATGCAAAAGCTTGAGACTGTCTCCTAACTGTAAAATAGGAATTTCTGAAACAATACATATGCATCCATTAACCATAAAAGTAACATTAGTAAAGAAGACTACCTTAAAATTGAAGACTTGAGGGGCTAGGGATTTAGTTCAGTGGTTCTGGCAGCTGCTTCGCAAGCACAAGGACCCGAGTTGGATCCCCAGTACCAAAAAAAAAAAAAAATTGAAGACTTGTGTTTATCTAATGATATACTATCAGCACATGTCTATAATCCCAGCAATCAGGAAGCTAAGACAGGAGAAGTGTAGCAAGTTCAAGGCCAATCTACACTACAAAGCAAGACTCTGTCTCAAAAAGACAAAGCAAAAAAAATTTTTTTGTTTTAAAGAATAAGGACATTTCAAAGAGGATGTTAAAAAAGCAAGCCACAGAGTACATGATGCTGTTTGTAACAGAAGATCAATATCTAGAAAGTATAAAGAACTCCCACAAATAATTTTTTTTAAAGATCCACAACCCAGTAAAAAGAAAGGGTAAATAATTTGAATGCCCGGTGTGGTGACACATGCCTGTCATCCCAGCACTTGGGAAGCTGAGGCAGGAGGATCACCATGAGTTTAAGGCCATGATGGGCTGCATAGAAAGTTCAAGGCCAGCCTGAACTACACACCAAGACCTTGTTTCAGAGAACCAAACAATAGAAATAATAACCTTAAATAGTTCATATAATCTCATTTCTTCATTTTTTGCATAATTGAAATACAGCTGTGTGCACTGTGAACAAAATTGAAAACTGTTAGATGCTGATCTTAGTGCTGATTTCTTTTATAAATAATACTTTTGTGTTTAGTATTGTGTTAGAATAAAATCATGAAGAGTAATGTGTATTGCTTTCGTTATTGTTTGTGCTCTTCTCTCGCTGTCCTCAGACTGACGACATTGTGAAGGCGGTGGGGAATTGCAGCTACAACCAGCTGGTGGAGAAGATCATCTGCTGTAAGCAGTCGGACGATAGCCAGCTGGCCAGTGAAGGTGGGTCTGTGCTGCCGCTGCCCTTTTCACTCAGCAGAACTACTTATCTCAAAATTTAATAGCTTTACAGGTGGGGATTTAGCTCTGTAGTGCTGCTCCCTGCCCTGTGCAAGCACAAGGACCTGAGTTCGATCCCTGATACCTCCCCCCAAAATTATTTTTAATAGCTTTCCTGATTTTTACAAGTAAGGATACTTACAGGAATTTAAAAAGGAAATACTCATAAAAATGCCAGTGGAAGATTTGTTCTGGAACCCTATTCATTTGACTTGTAAAACAAGGCCTGAATGTTAATAACAGCCTTTGAAGTCATTGATATGGCACTGGTATGGTCATTTACTGAGAAGTTACTGATACTTACTTTAACAAACATTATTTTTATTTTGGATTTTATTTTTCTCCTCAGTACTTAGTTGACAGAAATGAGTATCAGGTGATAAAGCATTCTCTTTTTAGTTGGCCTCAGTGTTAAGTTTCAGTGCAGTACAATACATGAAGGACCTTTTCTGGGTCAGAGTACACCTCTGGCCGGACACAGTGGTGCACACTTATAATCCCAGCATTTAGGAGGCTGAGACAGAAGGATTAGTGCCACTTTGAGGCCATCTTGGTCTCTATTGTGAGTTCAAGGCCATCCTGAACTACAAAGTGAGACCCTGTCTTGAAAAATAAAAACAAACTAACAAATTAGCATATGGCACTGAACACTTGTAACTAACTGAAAATACAAAATTTAAAGCAAAAGCAGTTTAATAATTTTTCAATCATGTTCAGTCAACAGTGAGAGAAGATTTGCCCTTGGAGTACTACAAAGAGACAGAACGTTTAGATGTGCCTTCCCCACCATTTGCTCCACTTTTCTTAAAAACACATAAATATTAGCCAGGCGTGGTAGTGCACGCCTGTAATCCCA